CCTCATAGTGGAACTTCATCTATCTGTAGTTTTAACTTGGGCTGGGACTTCCTGACTGACTGACAAATCATGTGTTTTTTTTTTTTGTTTTGTTTTTGTTTTGTTTTTGTTTTGTTTTAACAATCCAGCTCAACAAATAATTCTAAAGCTAATGTTGCAAACTTTTATGTTGGTTAAATGACTGACTCAAATAGGTTGCCCGCGTTAGGCTGTCATTATGAAACCTGTAGCAAACAAAGTACTTCCTCCAAACTGCCAAAGTGCTGAACACACAAGGCTTCACTCGGTCTGAGCACGCAATACAGTGAATGTTGGTGCTTCCTCATCTGGGTCACATTAACTGTGATTCACTCAATTTCAGTAGGCCTTTTGCATGCCTGTTAAGACAGTTTGATTTAATGGAGATGGGTAATTTGCTATCAGCAAACCTGGTTGTTTTTTTCCGCTTCCTAGAGCATTGGAAACTGACCTCTTTTAGTTCTTAGGTTTTTCTCTTGCATTGTGGCAAGCCCATATTGTACGGTTAACACAAAAAATTTCGGAGTTTTTTGAAAATTCCTATGCTGACCCTGTCTCTATCTTCCCCTTTTTTGAGGCAGGACTCTGTCTCAAAAGTGCAGCATAATCCAAAAAGAACTACTATTTGATAGGATAAATTTCTCTTCCGGTCATTCATGTAATTCTGTTGTTGCATTACATGTTGTTTCCCCCTTTCTACCACTTCTGAAGGTCAGCTTTTGAGGCTGCCCTCATAGTGGAACTTCATCTATCTGTAGTTTTAACTTGGGCTGGGACTTCCTGACTGACTGACAAATCATGTGTTTTTTTTTTTTGTTTTGTTTTTGTTTTGTTTTTGTTTTGTTTTAACAATCCAGCTCACCAAATAATTCTAAAGCTAATGTTTTGCTCAGAAATGACTAAAGTAACCTGTTACCCCCTTTTCTGGGCTGGTTCCCATATGTTTTTCTCTTCTTTATTAAAGCTGTCCCCAAGATTGTCAAATGTTTTTCCCCATACTGTTTAAACCACCAAATGAAATAAAATAAAATGTGGAAGACGCATCATATCATTATAACACGTCATCACTATATCATTCTGTTAAATATTTGACATTCTTTTAGTTTTGTAGTTCATATATTTTGCGTCCCTAGTTAACTCTGTTGGAGTTCTCTTGCAACAACTATTTCCATTAATATTGATTTTCCCCTCTCAGTCAATTCAGGTTCAAACCGCTTTGTCATCACTATGTGGTATATTCACTGTCGGCTTTCTGAATGACTGAGTTTCTTTTAATTAACCATATTTCATTTCACACATACACACACACAAAGTTTTCAGTCACGCATACCTCTGTCCCTAATTTTTTTTTCAGACACACCCCACACTCACGGTGATCACCAAGAAACAAACATGTACATTGCACATATGGAAAATAACAAAGTTATCCTTGTTAAATTCTAACATTCCTGACCACCCAAAGCCTCTCAACTTCTGTCTGAATTCCTCACGACATTCTTTCTTTTTTAACTTCCACCACTTGATCTTCTTTTCTGTCTTTCCTCTTCTTCCTGACCACCAGAGTCATCGTACACACCACCATCCGATGCTGTCTGGCTACACTTTCTCCTCCCACCACTTTGGAGTCACTAATACGTGCCCGTTGAAGTCTGCCCCAATCACCACTCTCTCCCCTCTGGGAATACTCTCCATCACCTCATCTAACTCACTCCAGAATCTCTCCTTCTCTTCTAACTCACACCCTACTTGTGGAGCATAACCACTGACTACATTCAACGTTACCCCTTCAATTTCCAGTTTCAAACTGATCACCCTTTCTGACACTCTTTTCACTTCTAAAACATTCCTCACGAGCTCCTCCTTCAGGATCACTCCTATCCCATTTCTCTTCCTGTCCACACCATAATAAAACAGTTTGTATCCCCCTCCAATGCTATGCGCTTTGCTACCCTTCCACCTGGTCTCCTGCCCACACATATAGTATATCTTCCTTCCTTCTTTCCATCATGGCCGCCAGCTCTCGACCTATTCCTGTCATTGTGCCAATGTTGAGTCCCTATTCTCAGACCTATACTCCTGCCTTTCCTCTTCTCTCTCTGTGTACGACTCCTTCTACCTCCTCTCATTCTTCGACCAACAGTAGTCCAATTTCCGCCTGCACCCTGTAGGTCAACAGCACTGGTGGCGGTCGTTGTTAACCCGGGCCTCGCACGACCTGGTATGGAATTCGCACTGATGATTTGCATGTTTAAATTTGGCATGTTTTTACGCCGGATGCCCTTCCTGACGCAACCCTCTCTATTTATCTGGGCTTGGGACAGGCGCACAAGTCACTGGCTTGCAACCCCTGTGGCTAGATTGCTTTTTTCATTTAGGGGTCACCACAGCGAATTTGACGACTCGCATGTTGATATTTGGCACTTGTTTTACTCTGGATGTCCTTCCTGACACAACCCTGATTTTAACGTGGGGCACAGTGGCAAGAGCGCTGCGCCTTAACCACTAGCCTACCAGGGATGGCCTTAGATGTACCTAGACTGACTAGCTAAAATAAGCATTGTTTCTAAATGTCCAGACTTGCAAAGCTAACAGCAACAGGCCTGCATCCTTGACACTTGGGGAGTTCTTCTTGATTCACATATTGGACTGAGCATTGGCTAACAAGTGGTCTATTGGAACTGAAGTGATATAACAAAAGTTCTATTGGCCGGCTGCCCACAAATATACTGTACCACTGAGTAGAATACAGTATGGTACCAACATTATCAGTCAGAACCAAAAGAATTCACATTCCCTGGAGGAGGTGCTGTCACTGTAAGCTCAATGAGATGCTTTCTGTAGTTCCAGTTGTCTCCCGGCAGCACACAGAGGTTTTGGTTATGTCTTCTTCACTGTGCAACAGGTTGCTGTCACTGCAGGAAAATAAATCAAATTTAGATCATATAAGCACACAAGTCAAAGCAGTGGATATGTACTGATTTCTTATCAAGACTGCATTTCATTTCCAATTTGACTTAATAAAGTCACGTCACTATAGTTTTCAAACATTCTTGTCATTATTATTGTGGGTTAACATAAGCTCTGTTCACTGTGCATAAATTTTGGGCATCCTTGGTGACTAATAATACATTCATTTTTTCATCCTGTCAAGGCGGCCAGTGTTTGGGGTTAGATTACTAAAGTTAAAGCTTCAGGTGAGGTCATGCTGTTTAGAATGTTGATAACTGAGCTGCTTACATAAGACCCTACTGGAGCAGCCAGTGTTTCAATCAAAGCACTTTAGTAACTTGTGGCATGTTCTGAAGTGCCCAGTCAGCCAGCCCCACACTCCTCACACACTTTGACCGGTTGTGGGCACATGAAGGTGTATGTAGCATGATTCTTTGAAGCATACGTGACCCCCGATTAACCCCATGGGATTAATCCTCCAAAGTGCTGCTTTCCTTGTCTCTTCTTTTCACCCCCATTGGTCATATTAAGCAGAGCCCAGTTTCCCGCTGTCTGCCCATGCTCACACACAACCTGCTTCTTCTGGTTAACTTTCTCTTCTTTTGTTAATTTTCCAGCTGGAGCCTGAAGCAGACTTCCTGTTGACCGCTTCGTAGAGAGGGAAATCTTTTTGAAAATCAGGAGAAACACCTGTTCACCCTCCTTCCTCCTACTGGAAGCTGAAGGATATTAACAAAATGACTAGAAGATCCCCCATTGCCTTGCTACTCCTTGCAGTGTGTTGCCTGGCATCTGCAGGTAAGTTTTTATGACTGCTTATATGTATCTAAAATAATGCACTTATCAGATACATGTGATTGTTATTTGTTTAACATAAAAGGTTAAAAAATAACATTTTTGCTGGTTTGAGCCAAAGTCTATCCCATACAAATGGCACTTGAGGCTTGCAGTGCTGTGTTGTCAGACAATTACAACTCTGTGCATACTCTGGGAGTTTCCACTGTCTCCCGGCATGCCTTTCTAGACAGTGCTTGTCAGAGTCATAAGTAAGAGGGATGTACATTTAAGTTCAGTCTAACACAAACACTCAGCAGGCCTACATACATTTTCCAGACTGATATTAATGAGGCTCAGATACAGTACTGCCAGATGCCTTGTAGTTTAACAGCCATCAACCCGGCAAACCAAGGACAGAAAGGGGAAACCAAATAAATGGCTGAATACATGAAATGTATGTGTATCACATCAATTAATGTAAGGCTCTGGATGATGTCACTTAACTGTGACATCCCACCCCATGAACATTATCTAATTAATGAGAAATAACGAACCTCTCATTTTGAGGACTGTATGTGACCTTTTATAGTCTAGTAATTCCTCAATGTAAGCAGCAGTTTCTGAGAGGGCCGTGACTTGTGTTTGTGTCACCTTATCACCAATTTGATTTTGTCACACTTATATTGTTCTCCTTGTTACTGATGAGATGTTTTCTGGCTGCAGGAGGTGATGACTGACTCATGTAACCTTGCTGAGACAAAAGAAAGATTGATAACATTATAATATGTCCTCATAATGTCACTGTTGTTACTCCGTTGTTGATTGATTCCATAGTAATTCAACACACCTTAATTATAACTTCTTAAGCTTCTTCAAACACGTGGTATAGGACCACACAAAGAGTCAAGATTTGACACTTTATGAGGCTGTGCATAGGCATACCGGTGCACTGAGATAAATGCTAACATCAACTGACAGTGGGAGTGCGTCAGTAGCGTGCTGATGATTATCAGATAACATTAATCATGGTCTCCATCTTAGGATCTTAAGCAAGCAAACATTTACTAATTAGCAATAAATGCAAAGAAATATTGCTAGACGGAAAGTGAAGGGACCATCAACAGTGCATCCTGAAAGGGACCGGAATATTTCTACTAGATTTCTATAGAAAATTTCAATTTCAAAACAAAAAGTTAAAATGCTGGTGGTACTTTGAAATGTCGGGGGACAGCCAGAGTCACTAGGACACAACCCCTTAGTGTCGATGTGAAGTTTTATGCTGGTGGATTTACTAGATGTAGAGAAATGTCATTGGTGACAGCAAAACCTTGGCCTGCTTCTGGCCCCAGAATGGTTAAAGGACTAACAAAGTAAAAATTCTAAAGCATTCATCCTCTGGGGATATGGAAAATCGGCACCAGATCATATTCAGTAGTTGTTGATACGTTTCACTTGAAATCAAAAATGTCAGTCTCATTGTAGAGCTAGAGGAAAAGGCAGGGGAACCTCAAAGTTTTTATGAGTGAATCCTTTGGGGAACACAGATGCCTCTGTCAAATTTTATACAAATTTCCTGAACAGGTTTTGAGATGTTTCATTCTGGACCAAAGACATACAGTATTTGCCATGAAACCCTGGTGCTAGAATGAATAAACATTATATAAATATGTGACAGATTCTTAAACAGAAACATAAACTTAGGTTTGTCATGGTCATGGAAGTGAGAGATTTTAGCTGCATTTGGGGTGTCAATAAAACTGCCAATGGTCTTAAAAATAGGGTGGCACAAGATTGATCAATCAGATTATCAGAGCAACCATTTCCTGGCAACTACTTTTTTCATCTGTTGAATATAATATAGGAAATTTTAGGGCAATGGCACAGTTATTTGAAAATATTTTTTTTAAAGTTTTATTTCATATTTCCTATGGGAGAAATTAAAGTGCCCATGGCTGCTCATTTTGCTTGTTTCCAATGTTTAATCTTGGGTACCTCTAGATTAGCGTGGCACCCCTCAAAACTCCAAATAGACTATAATTGTTTCAGAATCAGAGAACCAAAAAGCCTCTTCCTTAAAACTAGAGGACAGTTCATGAATGTGCACAACTCCTGCTGCCAGTGTTGTGTTGGAAGTTGACAGCACAATGAACGGTGACAGCATTAATTAATGTGAATTTCTCTTCCATAGATAGGTAAACAATGGTGTATGTACCAATGAAAAGAGATGTGTAACACTCTAAACAAAGCGGGTAATTGAGAAACCCCATATTTTAACTGGCATAATTCAGACATAGTAACTGGCCATTATCAGACAGTTAACGTGTTTCTTTAAACTTACCGTTAAGTCCTGCCGAGTAGTGGAAACATCACTCCCTTTCAAGTAGCTCAAAGGTCAGTAAATAGTCAGTATAGGGAATGTTGCTGCTGTAATATCCACATCAGCTAAAAAAAAATCCAACAGTGGCTTATGTCTGTTGATAAACTGACCAAAGTATTTGATTTTCTGACATTCAGCCTTATAGTTTGATGAAAAAGTTGCCAAGTTGGCTATAAATTGTCATGAGGCACACTGACACTCTAGTTCTTCTTTTCTATTTTTCAGGTTAAAAGAAAAATAGAGATACTGGTTTCACAGAGTACAGCTTTTGAGTTGAACTCACTCCAGCTTTACTCTGCAACATCCCGTGTTGTTTTTCTGTGGTAGCACAGGAATAACTACCCAGTAGGAGGCATGCTCCAAAAAAGTGTGGTTCACATTTTTTCATGCTGTCAGTTCTTTTGCCACCATAGATTATTATTTCAAAAGTTATTCTCTATTCTCTGGAGGTTTGAACCACACTGTGGAGAGCCCACTTCTACTCACACAATGGCAGTGTAGTCAGTTTGTTCTGTGGGTAGAGCAAACATAATTTCTCCCACAATGCCAGGATCTCCAACACAATGAAGTCACGTATGAAGTTTTCCTTTAAAGTTTTCCTCAGACAGCAAAAATCATTGTTGTACTGTGTCACAAGGGGCAGATATTTACAGTTAGACAACCAAATGCCCGTTCTTCCAAAGTCTTTGTACTCTGTGATTTATGGACAGCTCTTCAGGTGCTCAAGAGTTATCCACACATGCAATTTTTGACCAGGTATAATGCTGGCTAATTAAATTTTTGTTTCATTTTTAAGGTTAAAAGGCATTCCATCTATTTTTGGTCATATTATTACTATTTTTTAACAGCCGTTGTAGGTGTGTATGATGTGGCGAGTCAATGTGTGTGGCTTCATTCACTTTTCCAGCTCATGAATTTCCTTTGTGTTTTGGTTAGCCAGGCTGCTAACGTAGCCTAGTGTTCCTTAGCGTCAATTCTACCGCCAGTGTGGCAACGATAGATAAAAACACTGTTTAACATCCAGAACTAACGCAAACAGATGGTGTGTCGCTATTGTGTGTTAAATGTGGCCCATATTCGACAGTGAATAGCAGTGAATGCTCACACTAACAAGGTAAACAACAAAGTCTTCTTCTCGTGGATGCCCATGTCAATCATCCCCCATACGTGATTAATTTGCTGGATGATGTGACCATCCAGTGCCATGTGGTAAGGGTGAAAATAGCATATATGGTCACACACAGCCTCAATTAGAAGTTAGAAGCTCATGCACAGTTCATGCACAGTTATAAAGAGACTAATGTGAAATAATACAGGAGAGAAGCCAGTTGAGTTTGTGGCAAAACCTTTTACAGTGCTGGCATGTTGTCATCTTTTACTGCATATGAAAATTCATACTCAGAAAATAGAATTGAAGTGACATTCACTACAGGATGATTAGTTAAAATATTTCAAAAGGCACCTGCATTGTTTTGCATTTTGTGACTTCCAGTCAAATAAAAGACAATTTTTCCTGTCATATATTTCATCATTGAAGAGTTTTAAAAAATATCATCTTGTAACGTTCTCGTGAACCCAATATTGTGCATCGTCTCATTTCGTGAGTTAAGTGTATTGTCACGCCCCTGGTCATTGGTTAGCTTATTATTTTTTCCTCATTTTTTTATACACTGCCACTTCATCCTGTCTTTCACCTCTCTCTTTTTTTGCAGCATCTGTGTAAACAGTCACATCTGCGCATTAAACTTGTCACGAGCGCTCTTACATAATGTTTAGATTAGTCTGCAATGAGTCTTCTCTTGGCGTAATGTAATCCAGAATCAGGGCCCCTCATAACTCTTAAAGTCAGACTGAGAGAACCTTGACGTCCATATTTCAAGTCCGGGCTCTGCTTCTTTACTTTGCTTTTTGCTGTTTATTAATTTTTTCCATATCCTTACGGCCATTTTGCGGCTACTGCTCCTCAGCTTGCCAAATTGTTATTTTGTGAGGAATATATTGCCGACATTTGGGCTTACTTTGGGTTTTGCAGTAAAATATTCTTGCAAGAGACATGCCAGATATTAATTTGAGGCAACCACTAGAAGCAGCTCTGGCAGGATGCTGCTTATACTGGAGGAACACCATAGGGCTAGAGGCTGGCTGAAAAGCATGCCACTATTAGTGAGTGCAAAAAAACCTTTTGCATCATCTTATGCTGTAGCTTTTCCTGACTGTACTTATGGGCCAGATTGATGAATGATGAAGCTCTTTGTAGAATCACATTCTTACACTGAGACAGTGAAAGAAAACAAGTGGAAAAAGGATTTGAATTGTAGGCCTTTACGGTAAAGTAAACAACTTTCTCTCTGTCTGCATTTTTGTATACTCTTGGCAGGCCAGAGTCATTATGATGCCAAAAGTAGTTGTAATGTCCTCCCCCCCACACTTGAGAAAACTGTTTGTCTCTATATCCAATATGCTTTCATAGGGCCAGCAAGAGAGGGACTGCCAAAATGCATTGTGCAACCACTGTAATCTGAGAGGAGGGGTAGTCAGTGGGAGGAGAGAGGCAGGCGCAGGCATAGGTTGTCTGGTCCAAATCGACACACTCCAAATACGTACAGCGTGCCAAACCGACAAAGTCCCTTCCAGCATGCTAAAC